TGGGTGGGTGGGTGGGTGGGTGGGTGGGTGGGTGGGTGGGTGGGTGGGTGGGTGGGTGGGTGGGTGGGTGACGGACAGGTATTGCAGACTGGCGAGAGCGGTGATGGAGGCAGGTATGGAGCCGGTGGGGGGGAAGACTGTGCATAAGTCCATGGCGAGGGAAGGAAAGGCATGGTGGAGGGAGAGTGTGGGCGGGTGGTGTGGTGACTGACAGGTATTGCAGACTGGCGAGAGCAGTGATGGAGGCAGGTATGGAGCCGGCTGGAGGATTCACTTTGGTGGAGTATTTTGCATCCCTGCCAGCCAACACACACACGCACGCATGCATGCCCGCTTTGAGTCGACTCAAAACACATGATGGAAGAAGGTAAGGAGACAGTGGCTGGAGGATTCATCGTTTGTTTTCTGAGAATTTTCAAAAAACAGGTAAGGAGACAGTGGCCGGAGGATTCATCGTTTGTTTTCTGAGAATTTTCAAAAAACAGGTAAGGAGACAGTGGCTGGGGGATTCACTTCGGCAGAGTAATTGCATCCCTGCCAGCCAACACACAAAAATGCATGCATGCATGCCCGCTTTGAGTCGACTCAAAACATTGAGTCGACTCAAAACATTGAGTCGACTCAAAACACATGATGGAAGCAGGTAAGGAGACAGTGGCCGGAGGATTCACTTCGGCGCAGTATTTTGCATCCCTGCCAGCCAACACACACACGCATGCATGCATGCACATAATGCATGCAATACCAACCAGCTCCCATTCCTCCCCATCTCCCACCCTAGTTCCCTTCCCCCGGTAACCCAGCCCTCCCCCATCCCGCCAGCCAGCCAACACACGCACGCATGCACGCATCACCAGCTCAGCTCCCATTCCTCCCCCACCTCCCACCCCAGTCTAGTTTTGAGGCGCCTCAAAAAATGCACGCAATACCAACCAGCTCCCATTCCTCCCCCACCTCCCACCCCAGTTCCCTTCCCCAGTATCGCAGCCCTCCCCCATCCCACCGCCCCACATCCTCCACTTTCAACCCATCCCCCTCCCTATCAAGATTGCCACTCAATCCATGATTCCACATGCACATAGTAACATCCAGCCCATCCAGCCCACATCTCAGTACATGATTATTCCTAAGTGGAGCAACCAATGGGAGGGTGGACACGTGATACACGAAGTGCTTTGAGACGAATCAAAACACTTCTTTTATCACATCCACCCCATCCAGCCCACATCTCTCGGTGCAAGTTTATTCCAAGCAGAGCAATCAATGGAAGGGTGGAACATTGATACAAAGTGAGAGCACGGAGAGTGCATAGGACCAATGAGGGGTAAGGGGGGATATACTGAGGGGCGATACATTGCCTGGTGCCCTAGACTAGGCTGAGACTCACAGGGCAACGAGACTCACAGGGCAATGAGACTCACAGGGCAACGCGACTCACAGGGAAACGACAAGCCCTTAGGGCTGCAGGTGACGCCATTCCATGCAGAGCACGCCGTGGTGGCGTTGCTGTTGCTTTTCCAAACGCCCCACGCCTCCCTCAGCTGCAGCAGCACGCTCACTGGCGGCACAACGGGGAAATGGGGAGCACATTCGTGCAATTGGGAGGGAAGAGGTGGGGGACACCCTTGCTGTTGCTCGCCCAAACGCCCCACGCCTCCCTCAGCTGCAGCAGCACGCTCACTGGCGGCACAACGGGGAAATGGGGAGCACATTCGTGCAATTGGGAGGGAAGAGGTGGGGGACACCCTTGCTGTTGCTCGCCCAAACGCCCCACGCCTCCCTCAGCTGCAGCAGCACGCTCACTGGCGGCACAACGGGGAAATGGGGAGCACATTCGTGCAATTGGGAGGGAAGAGGTGGGGGACACCCTTGCTGTTGCTCGCCCAAACGCCCCACGCCTCCCTCAGCTGCAGCAGCACGCTCACTGGCGGCACAACGGGGAAATGGGGAGCACATTCGTGCAATTGGGAGGCGGCAGGGGAGGAGGGGGAGGGGTGGAGGTCACTCAGCGTTGGCGTTGCTGTTGTTTGTGCTGGTACAGGGAGGGAATGGGGCCAAATTCATGCTATTGGGAGGGTGTGTTGGGGGGGGGAGAGGGGGGGTTGGGGCGGACACGCAGTGGCGGCCTTTCTGTTGCCCGCCCAAATGCCTCACGCCTCCTTCAGCTGCAGCAGCGCCTTCACTGGCGTCATAGCGGAGAAATGGAAGGCAGGCCTGGACGGACGGGCCTGTGCGAGGTGACTTTTGAGTCGACTCAGAAGTCACCTTCAGCTGCAGCAGCGCCTGCACTGCCGTCATAGCGTGGAGGTGTCGTGAAATGGATGGCAGGCCTGGGCGGGCCTGTGCGGTCGTGATACTTTGTCTGCCCATGAGAGATCTAGCTCGGAATGGGGGGATATGTGGCTCGGAATGGGGGGATATGTGGCTCCAAATGGGGGGATATGTGGCTCGGAATGGGGGGATATGTGGCTCGGAATGGGGGGATATGTGGCTCGGAATGGGAGGATATGCGGCTCGGAATGGGAGGATATGCGGCTCGGAATGGGAGGATATGGGGCTCTGAATGGGGGGATATGTGGCTCGGGATGGGAGGATATGTGGCTCGGAATGGGGGGATATGTGGCTCGGAATGGGGGGATATGTGGCTCGGAATGGGGGGATATGGGGCTCGGAATGGGAGGATATGCGGCTCGGAATGGGAGGATATGCGGCTCGGAATGGGAGGATATGGGGCTCTGAATGGGAGGATATGTGGCTCGGGATGGGAGGATATGTGGCTCGGAATGGGAGGATATGTGGCTCGGAATGGGAGGATATGTGGCTCGGGATGGGAGGATATGTGGCTCGGAATGGGAGGATATGCGGCTCAAAATGGGAGGATATGTCGGAATGCAAAGGTCGCTGGGAGCTTTAAACGGATGACGAGAGACTCACATTGCGAGTCTTCAAGTACGACGGGCCTTGCAACGCGCGCGTCGGGCGCTCTGAAACCGCCGGTCGCGCCGCGTTTTAAGAGCGATCGTCGCGCGCGGCTGGGTCGAGCGCGGCTGGGTCGAGCGCGGCTGGGTCGAGCGCGCGACAGCAGGCGCTGTTCGTACGGACGTGGGGCGTCTCGGAGCGGCGGCAGTGGGTAACTAATACTATTAATAGTAGTATCGCCGGAAAGGGAGCAAGCAGCGGCGCCGGCAGCGAGCGTGAGGGCCGCGAGGAGGAGAATGCAAGGTGCGGCGACATTTGCAGAGCGTGACGCGACGCCAGGCCCGGGAGAACGAATGTTAGGCGTGGTATTGCCGCTGCGCATGATTCAGACTCGTGATACCTACTAGGAAGTGACCGTGAGACAAGGAGAGTCCGGCAGTCACAATCTCCAGCAATCAACCTGGTAACATTCGTTAGATTGTACTATACGAGGCTCCGGCGATTGAGTGACATGTGCGCCTTCTTTACATTGCAGTATCAGACGCTGGTGTGCGCGCGGGCAGAGGAGGGGGGCGGGGAGGGCAGGGGGAGAGACGAGGATTCCGACCGAGGGAAAAAACGTGAGTGCACCGTTTCGGTTCCGTCCGCGTGAGTCGGTAGTGCGCGCCAGTCAAATCCAGCCGCGCGGCTCGTCAGTCGCGAAATAGCTGCGAACCCCTTGTTGGTACATCAGGGGCTGAGCAAAGCAAAAGGTGGCCCATACAGGTCTCGAACCTGTGACCTTCGCGTTATTAGCACGACGCTCTAACCAGCTGAGCTAATAGGCCTGTTTTGCTTCAATTTTTTCCCTTATAAATTAAATTAAAAACTCTAGCCTGCCACAATGCTAACTTACTGTGCTTCGATTCCTTTAAAGCCAGGGTCTCAAGCAAGCAAAGCAGCCATCAACTGCAAAGCAGTTGAAGATAGGTTACCTTGTTAGTGCAGGCGAATTTCTCTTTGGTTGGGTTGGAAACCTTCTCCCGTCAGTGCCACAACAAGTTTTGAGTGCGTGAGACTTTCGACGAGTCTGGGGCATTTTAGGTTTGGTTCCGAACCAAATTGGGGAATGATCATACTAGGGCCTCGGATTAGCAGAAAGATTGCCAACTTGGGGCCTCGTGATTCGCGACCCTACGAAGAAGGCCCGAAGCAACCTACAAGCCTAGGCAGCTAGGCCGAGCTCGCCAGGTCACCACCTGCTGGCTTGGGTTTGACGGATTTCGCTAGCACCCTGGTTGACGGGAGGAGCCCTCGTCAGCCCATTCACAATGGGCAGTACAGATACTTCAGCGAAATAACCCAAACTTTTATCGCAGTGTGAAAAAAATATAAAACCGAATCGAAAGGCATAAAATTAGGGAGGCATCAACCCTAAACACATGCGACAAGGTGTTTAGGGTTGATGCCTCCCTGACCGGATGCATGGCCGTATGGGGTTTATATTTTTTGCCAGCTTGTCCGTTCAGAAATCCGTCACCTCGTGTGGTCAGGTCTGACGGAGCGCGTTAGTGAGGCCCGAAATTGGTTAGAGACAGGTCCGGACCAGGTTCGACACTTCGCGAAACACGAGGCCCCAAGTTGGCACTCTTTCTAGAGCTTCGGGGCCCCAATCTGATCATCTCCCAACCAAATTTACAAACCTAGAAGGTTCGGCTATACCTAGCGATTTGGATTCGTTTCGTACCCCTCGCTTCACCCCTCTTCAAACTTCACAACTCGCCAACCAATCACACACAAACTTGCACTGTCGACTGCAAAACACTTGTAGTACATAAGACCCTGGCTTTAAAATGTCGTTCCACTCGCGTTTCGTCTCCCATCCTCTCACCGCATCGCTGCTGCACCGGTGCGCGATCAGTCGAGCTTTGGGGAGCGGATCGGCGGCCACGTGGAGCGGAGAACCACGCGGATTTCGCGCGGACGAGGCGGTATTCTCGCAAGCAGAGGATAAGGGGGTGAACGCGAAAGGGGAAACGAGGGGGGACGCGAGGGGGGATGAGAGCGCGGGTGCGACGTGCGGCGATATCGATCTCCGCGAGATGAATCCGGACTCATCCGCAGAGGGCGCGGCGAGTATTGACGGTCGCTGCGACTCGCGGGGCGACGATGGCGCGGGTTCGCGACGAGATGGCGACGCGGCGAAGCGGGCGAACTCGCTGTCTGCTGCTTTGCGAAATGCGGCGACTGTCGAGGTGAGTGGCAGCGGGGGATGGAAGGTTGGTAACTTCTATCGTGTGAGGTGCAGCGAGGGGAGTAGAGATCTTGTAAGGTAGTGCTGCTATGCCTCACTCTTGTCTCATCCATGGGTCCCATCTCCCTCCCTCTGCTCCCGTTCCCCTCACTGTCCCCTCCCTCCTGCCTCCGATCCATGCCCCTCCCTCCCCTTTCCCACCCCACTACCTCCTTCCTTCAAGCCTTTCCCCCCCCCCCGTCCCCCCAACCTCCCCTACCTCCCTTCACCTTTCCCCCGTCTCCCTCCTCACTTACATCTTGTGTATTGCCTTCCCTCGCTCCACTTCTCAGTTCCTTCTCACTGCCCCCAATGCCTCCAACGCTCCCACTGTTGCTTTTGCCCCCTCTCTCCTTCGCTTGCAAATCACTCCTCCTGTTGCCGCCGTCATTTCCTCTCAACCCTTCCTTCCCTCACCCTCTTCCATTGCCCTTCTTCCCCCCCCCCCCCCCCCTTGTTGTCGCATGCCATGCCAGCAGCATCTGGACTTGACCGCTAGTGATGACCTGCGCTGCACCAACCTCATGTGCCCCCAGGTGAGGCGCGGTGGGGCGAGGTGGGGCGAGGTGGGGCGACGTGAGGCATATGGGGCGAGGTGGGGCGAATAAACGAGGTGCCACAAGGTGGGGCGAGGTGGGGCGAGGTGAGACGAGGTGATGCAAGGTGGAGCGGGTGAGAGGCAAGGTGAGACAGATGGGACGAGGTGGGGCGAGGTGCCACAAGGAGGGGCAAGGTGAGGATTTCCGCTGCACTAAGCCTCCTCTCTCTCCTCTCTCTCCTCCTCTCCCCTCCCCTCCTCACCAGGTCACCGAGACTTGCATATGTCTCCTGGGCATGGCCCTTTCTCCCATTCTCCGCCTCACCTTCCCCCAACCTCCCCCAACCTCCCCTCCTCCTCACCTTTTCTCTCCTCCTCTCCTCACCAGGTCACCGAGCCCTGCATCTGTCGCCTGGGCGTTGCCCTCTCACGCTTGCCGCGCCTCACCTCCCTCACTCTCGCTCACAACGGGTGAGAATTATTTTAAGAAATGGCTGCTTCTAACTGCCTGAAAGACAGCAGCATGTCAGATGGCACCGGGTGATCCAAATTCCAAGCACCTGCTGCACCGTATGCCCACTTTGCATCCTCACTTGTTTCCTCACTTGTTTTTATGTCTACCATGATCCCACCTTGCATTTTACTCGTTCCTGCACTTTCGGCCTATACTCACTCCATCTCCTCTTTCCTTCTCCGTGTGCCACCACAGCACACCACACCGTCTCCTTCATTAAACTCCACACCATACCATCCGCCTTACCGAATCTATCCATCCATCTGCCTCTTGTTGTGGGAGCCTTTAGGCTGCTGATTTCTGTTCACAACTCATTTTTGTTCATAACTGATTTTTGTTCATAACTGATTTTTGTTCTCCCACGCCGCCCCATCCGTCCTCCTCCCTCCCCTGACAGCCTAGAGGCTCTCCCTGACTCGCTATCCTCCCTCACCACCCTCCGCCATCTCGACGAATAGCCCACCCATCCCCCACCCTTTCCCTTGTTCCCCCCTCCCTTGCAGCCTGGAGGCTCTCCCCGATACACTCTCCTCCCTCACTGCCCTACGCCATCTTGACCTCTCCCACAACCGCCTCTCCTCTCTGCCTCTCCACCTCACGTCCGCCCTACCACACCTCAAGTGAGTTTCACGCCTTGAGTGAGTTCCACACCTCAAGTGAGTTTCACGCCTTGAGTGAGTTCCACACCTCAAGTGAGTTTCACGCCTTGAGTGAGTTCCACACCTCAAGTGAGTTTCACGCCTTGAGTGAGTTCCACACCAAGAGTGACTTTCACGCCTAGAGTGAGTTCCACACCAAGAGTGACTTTCACGCCTTGAGTGAGTTCCACACCAAGAGTGACTTTCACGCCTTGAGTGAGTTTCACAGCAAGAGTGACTTTCACGCCTTGAGTGAGTTTCACACCTAAACTGAGTTTTACACGTAGAGTGAGTTTCACACCTAAACTGAGTTTTACACGTAGAGTGAGTTTCACACCTAAACTGAGTTTTACACGTAGAGTGAGTTTCACACCTAAACTGAGTTTTACACGTAGAGTGAGTTTCACACCTAAACTGAGTTTTACACGTAGAGTGAGTTTCACACCTAAACTGAGTTTTACACGTAGAGTGAGTTTCACACCTTTACTGAGTTTTACGCGTAGAGTGAGTTTCACACCTAAACTGAGTTTTACACCATAAGTAAGTGAGTGAGTGCTTGGTAAAGGGCACAAGCAAATACCTGACAATACACACTCATTTCACAACCCCCATAAATATCATTCATTTCACAACCTGCCTCTCCTTAATCCCACACCACTTCCAGCATCCCACATACACCTGCTGTTCGCCTCTGCATGTTTCTCCCTGCCTTTCGTACGCTTCAAGATTTTGGATGGTCTGTGTCTCTTTCTCCTCCAATCCCCTGACAGGTCTCTCGTCCTCTTTGGCAACCCCTGTGCTCCCTCCACACCTCCGCATGACCACCCTCTGCAGCAATCAATTGTACCGTAGATAAGTGAATACGGTTATGAGTCGCTCGCCTGTTTTCTTGCCAGGCTCTGTCGGTATCTTGCATTCGTTACGGCTGATGGTGTATACTCAGTGGCTTGTTGCCTCATCCTACACTGTATTGCATGGTCAGTTACTGTCACCACACATGCTCCAAGTTCCAAAAGGGACAAACTCTATAGTGCTCGTAACGATCTTGCTTTGCTTGCTGCTGCTTCATGTACTCAGCCAATATGACAGTCATGATCCTCAGCATTGTAGACAACTGAGTGGCACCCACTGCTACTTCCAGGTTCAATGAATGCTACACAACTCTCCTCAGGCTGCTCCTGCAGAGTCTACAATCTGTGTGCCCCTGTGCTCCTGTGCTAGTAGCATGACGTTCCAAGGCAGAAGGAGCATATTCTTTGAGGCTAAATGAAACTGGGTTAGGGTTCGGGCTAGGTCACACATGTGTGGTCCTGTGTTGAGGAACATGACGCTTCAGCCAAAAAGGACGTGTCCTTGAAGGCTGCAAGGGTGAGATGCAGAAGAATGAGGGTTGAAGTTTAGATTAGAGAGTGTGGATGAGGTGCGGAACGTAGTATGTATCCTGCCACTCAGCAACACCTAGTATTATGGATGCAGTAACACACGCAGTGGTCTCTCTGGACCCTGAGCACCTACCAACTTCGCCTACCAGCACCTACAAGCATCTTGTAGTGAAGGATTTAAAAACGTACCCATGGGAAGCAGCATCAAGTCCAGTGATTAGGGGTGAGTGCGTGTGCCCAGGTGAACTGCCAACACCAACGCCAGGGAGCTGCGCGCCTGTGATGGAGTGATGCGATGTGGTGTGATGCAATGCAATGTGATGTGGCGTGGTGTGATGTGGTGTGGTGTAATGTGGTGTGGTGTGATGCGATGCCAGCGATGTGATGTGATGTGGTGTGGTGTGGTGTGATGCGATGCGATGCGATGCGATGTGATGTGATGTGATGTGATGTGGTGTGGTGTGATGTGATGCAATGTGTGAAATGTAAGGTGGAGGGGGTTGCACAAAGTGATGCATTTCTAATAAAACTGTTGAGAGCAGTGTCATTGGGCGAAGCAAAACAAAGGGTGAGCAGCAGCAAGTGCAATACTGTTGGATTGCAGCAGTGGGAGCAAAGGCCAAAGCACAGGTTTTCAGTGGTTTATGAGACTTCCTCATAGAATGACCAGCGCAGCACAAATGTAACATACCCAGCGGCAGCAGTGATATTCACTCCCCACTGTGGAAAGAAATGGTCTGCAAGGCCACGGGGCTGCTCTCACCTGCTCTCCTCCATCGAGGTCGTCCATGCTCCTCCAGCGCTGCTGCTGTGGCGGGCGCACCGAGAAGTGAATTCCTTGGGTGAATGGGTCAAGCGGGTCAACGGGTGCCAGGTCAGCATCGCCACCTGGCGCCATGATCTGGTAGATCCCCTTCACCCGCATCCTGATTGTATCAAAGCTTGCTGTGAACTCTTCTTGCCGATGCCTTATCAGCGCGTCATGCTCTTGCTGCACAGCATTCCTCTCCAGCGTCAGGTCTGCTGCCTCAAAGAACCTCTCGAAAAAAACGTCTTCTTTCTTGCGATACCTGAGCAAGTTTAAAACGGCAAAATAGGCTTGTAGTTAATACGTAGTGCATTCTGCTTAGAGCCCGTATATTAGGTAGTCATGTCATAGCAGACTGCACCACTCTGAGTACACTATATTTGTTAGAATAGGACCTATCAGATTATGCACCGAGTCCTAAAATTGCAAGTATTTACTCTCTCTCTCCCTCCCTTCATCCACGCACATGCTTGCACAGTACAACCCCCTTACACTCACACTCACTCTTCCAATGACACCCACACTTACCCCACCTGCATGCTTACACAGCAAATCGCTCACTTACTCGTCAATGTAGCTCATGTCAACACTTTCCCTGAGCGCCTTGAGCTCTTCTCCCACGGACTGATGCTTTGTCAGCACCTCATTGTAGCTGTGTCCTGCGCTCATGTGGGTACTGCACAGCAAGGATAGCAGGTTACCCAGTTTTTGCATCGCTTCTTCGGATGGGTCTGCTGCAGGCTCCGGTACTTGGCATTGCGCCACAGCCTCACTCCCCTCTACAGTTTCAGCACCCTCTGCAGCCTCAGACCCCTCTGCAGCCTCAGACCCCTCTGCAGCCTCAGACCCCTCTGCAGCCTCAGACCCCTCTGCAGCCTCAGACCCCTCTGCAGCCTCAACCCCCTCTGCGGACTCAGCCTCAGACCCTTCTTCAGTAAGACCTGCCGCCTCTAACCACTCGTCCAGAGCTTCGTTAAGAGTGTGAGGAAGGCCTGCCTGCTCCATGTCCTCGTCTGACACGCGCTTTTCTTGCATGCTGCAAAAACAAGGGGGGAAGGGGGGAGGGAGAGAGGAGGAAGGGGGGAGGGAGAGAGGAGGAAGGGGGGAGGGAGAGAGGAGGAAGGGGGGAGGGAGAGAGGAGGAAGGGGGGAGGGAGAGAGGAGGAAGGGGGGAGGGAGAGAGGAGGAAGGGGGGAGGGAGAGAGGAGGAAGGGGGGAGGGAGAGAGGAGGAAGGGGGGAGGGAGAGAGGAGGAAGGGGGGAGGGAGAGAGGAGGAAGGGGGGAGGGAGAGAGGAGGAAGGGGGGAGGGAGAGAGGAGGAAGGGGGGAGGGAGAGAGAGAGGAAGGGGGGAGGGAGAGAGGAGGAGGAAGGGGAGGGAGAGAGGAGGAAGGGGGGAGGGAGAGAGGAGGAAGGGGGGAGGGAGAGGAGGAAGGGGGGAGGGAGAGAGGAGGAAGGGGGGAGGGAGAGAGGAGGAAGGGGGGAGGGAGAGAGGAGGAAGGGGGGAGGGAGAGAGGAGGAAGGGGGGAGGGAGAGAGGAGGAAGGGGGGAGGGAGAGAGGAGGAAGGGGGGAGGGAGAGAGGAGGAAGGGGGGAGGGAGAGAGGAGGAAGGGGGGAGGGAGAGAGGAGGAAGGGGGGAGGGAGAGAGGAGGAAGGGGGGAGGGAGAGAGGAGGAAGGGGGGAGGGAGAGAGAGGAGGAAGGGGGGAGGGAGAGAGGAGGAGGAGGGGGGAGGGAGAGAGGAGGAAGGGGGGAGGGAGAGAGGAGAGAGGAGGAAGGGGGGAGGGAGAGAGGAGGAAGGGGGGAGGGAGAGAGGAGGAAGGGGGGAGGGAGAGAGGAGGAAGGGGGGAGGGAGAGAGGAGGAAGGGGGGAGGGAGAGAGGAGGAAGGGGGGAGGGAGAGAGGAGGAAGGGGGGAGGGAGAGAGGAGGAAGGGGGGAGGGAGAGAGGAGGAAGGGGGGAGGGAGAGAGAGGAGGAAGGGGGAGGGAGAGAGGAGGAAGGGGGGAGGGAAGAGCGAAAATGCATCTCAAAAATCCCTGTGGGGGACGAGGAATGCCGGCCGCGTTCGTTCCCACACACACTCGCTTTGTCTTGTGCATTGCGTGACATGGGTCAGCTTTCAGGGTTTCTAAGGGAGTTCACTTGGAGACTCAAGTGTAGCAGTGCATAGATGCTTAAGAGTAGCGAGGTAAGAGTGCAGAGAAGAATGAGGACAGCTCAGAATAGCGGCGAGCAGATGGCAGAGTTGACAATCAGGGACTCACTGTGAGATCTGCCGTGAGAGTAGCGACCCCAGACTGTTGAATGCATTCCTCGCCAGGCGTGACAGGTCCACACTCAAGTGGTGAAGGTGATTCAAATCCTCCAGCTGTGAAAGTGCCTTGTCCTGACCGTTCGGAAGAACGCAAAAGGTGTGTGGGTGAAGAAAGCGGAAGATCAAGTTTGGGCATAGTAAGGCATATGTGAGGAGCATTCCATTAGAATGGCATATATGAGCTTAGAGCATTACCCCGATTCCCTATTTGCAACGTTCCGAATTCTTGATGTTATCAACGTTTCCCTCCCTCCTCCTCCCCCTAACAAGCAATGAGCTTAGAGCACTTGATTACAAAAACAGAAAACATACAGGAGAAGGTGAGTGAGGACACACGGAATGTGAGTGTGTGGATCCAGTGTGAGTGACAGAAAAGAAAGCAGGGCCTAACGCAAGTGTACGATTCGCATTCGGCCGTGAACAAATCCAAGCCGTACCCAGATCCCTTCTCATGGCCCTCACCAGTACCTTCTCTCCTTCTAGCTACCTCACCCCTCCTGCGCCCATATCAGTGATATCACCTCCCCTGCGCCCACCTCACCTGCCCTGCCCCAACTTACCGCTTGCAAGAGATTTTTCTCCGATTGGCTAAGAACTGCTCGTATCTCCCTCCTCCTGTCAACGCACTCATCTCGCTTGCGATTCATTAGCTGCTAGCACAGGTGCGACCAGGGGAGGGGGATGCAGGAGCAGGATAAAGTGGTGACCTCACAGTCATTTTCCTTGCCTTGAGGAGCCACTCCTCCTGCCTGCACTGCATTGCCTGCCAGTACAGGCGAAACCAGAGGGTTGGAAAAGGTGGTATTTTTGCTTAACACCCTCCCTGAAGCAGCCCGCTGCCATGGTTATGCAGGCAAAAAAAAAAAAAAAAAAAACGACATAGCAGGCAGGCGGAGTGGCATGGCAGGTATGGAAGAGTGCTAAGGACGAGGGAAAGGATTAGGGAGTGAGCTTGCATGGTAACATTTGAAAGCCTCACTGTCCCAAGGGGTCTGTCGTGTGATTTTCAGAGCCGTTTACAAAACCTTCTTCAAATGCCACACCTGTGTCAACTTTTTGCGCTTCTCATCCACTATATGCATCTGCAGAGAAAGTTTTTTGTCCTCCGTGCTGCTTCCCTTCCTATCCATGCCTCTGCTACTCATGCCTCTGCTGGTTGTGACTTTGCTGCTCGTGCCTCTGCTGCTCGTGCCCCCTGTTAAGTGGCTTGGCCTCTTGTCTTGCTTGGGAAGTTTGTTCTCCTGCAGATGCAACGAGGACAGAATAAGTGATGGTTGCCATGTGAATAGGTGGTGAGTGGGCGCCTGGTGTGTGGATCTGTTACGGACAGGTCATCTCAGTACCACGCAACACATAGTCTACAAAATTATTCTCTTACTCACAAGATGCGGAATATTCAGACCTTTCTATTCCACTGATACGTTTCATCCCCATCGTTCAGCCACCCACCTTGCCTGTCTTGCAGGCAGGAAGCTTCCTCGCCAGTGCGTTATACTCTGCCTTGGCAGCCTTCAGCTCTGCAATGAGGGCCTGTCAAGAAAGCTTGCAACATTAGGTGCACACACAAGGGGGAACTCTCAAGGCCAAAGCCTGACAAACTTTCTGCCGACCTTCTGGGCCAACTTTCCACTCCCTTGTTACTCACTTCCTGCCAGACTCACTTTAAACTCCTCTGCGCATTTGTCATACTCGAGTTCTTTGCACTTCATTTCTCCTGAAAGCATGGAAACGGTTTTCCTGCGTCCAACGGTGCTACAGTCAGCGGGCTCAGACTCTCATGTTGAATACGGCCTCTTTCAATGACTCACCTTTTTCACCCAGTACTGGACACGGGGCAAGTACCGAAGCTACATGCTCTTCTTCCCTATTTCAAAGTCACGCGCTCACACCACATCAAAGGCATACCAAGATCCCTCTTCCTCAAGCCCTCCCTCCTTCACCCTCTCGGCACTGTAAGAACTCACCTCATTCACTCCATTTCCAATTACCCGACACTCAGAACTCAAGCTCTTTGGCTCTCCTCTCTCCCACAAGCACCACTTTGAGTTCTGCAATCTTTCTGCTGGCCTCCCTCTTCAGGCAGTCGCATTCCAGCAACATATCTCCTTCCCACCAATCCTCCCACTAAACATCTACACCACACCAGCTCCCAGTCTGACTCACGTGTCCACCTCAGCCAGCCTCTCAAAATGTACGGCCCACCCGGCCCACCCAACTCAATCCTCCTCACACGTTGCATAATGCAATCTTGCTGCTGTCCTCTCCCTTCAAGTCATCGTTCTTCTGCAGCATCAGGTACATCTCAACGCGCTTCCCACCAGTCTTCTATCCCACAACAGCTCCCAGCCTCTCACCTGTTTGCCTCGATCACCAGTTCAAGGTCGGCAGCCTGCCTGATAGACCCTTTTCTTGTGTCCTCACTCTCCTGTAGCTGCAAGTATGCAGCCGCCATGTTCAGCTGGGTGTGCTGCGCATCCTTCAGCAGAAACTCTTCAGCCGCTTTCTTGTGCTCCTGGAGGCAAGGGCATGCAAGCGATGGGGTTGATTGAAGATGGAAGTGGGTGAGATGAAGAGTTTGAAGTGCAGCGCCAGGAAAGTTAGTGTGCCTCTGTCATGCGCGTCTGCGTTCGCTGTGCATCCTTCAGTGGAAACACTTGCCGCAGCTCTCTTCACTTCACTGCCTGTAGAAACGAAAGAAATGGCTTGAAGTGTTCATACACGACAAGAAGATCATGTAGGAACAAACGAGATGGCCTTTGATATGTTTGTAAGGTCCACAAGAGCACGTTGCATCCCACACTGTTCTGCTGCGTGCAGAAAGGACTGGTGTGCAAAGTATGGAGCTTTGACCATCCGGGTACAAGCGCTCCCATTGCCTCCTGGAGCAGATGGAACTCAAGCCAGGTGCTTTGGCCAGGAATGGTATGTAGATTAAGGTTGAGTGGATCTGTGACAGGAGGGAGTTGAAACATCAGTTACATTTATGCCAGGCTCCTTCTTCACTGCATGCTCCGTGCTTCTCCTGTAATCCTTGCTCTGTATTTCTTTTTCCTTCAATGCTAAGCCTATGCTTCTCGCAGAGTCTATCTACAATGAGTATCCTATCATGCTTGCTCTATCTAAACACTCACCTCCACTTGGTCCTTTTCTCTCTCCGCCAATAGCATCCGTTCCATGAAGCCCACCCTTCTCTCATTCAGATCCTCCAGCCTGCACACACCAGACAAACAGATAAGCAAGCAGACGAGGAGGCAAGCATACAAGGAGGCAGGCAAACAAGGATTATGGCAGACAAGCGGGCCAGATGAACTGAAAGGCACGGTACAATCAAGCATCCAGCCTTGTGATAGCTATCTCGTTCAGATCCATCGCTTGGACGACATCTCTCAGCAGTACGAGTCTGATTCAAGTGCTCTGAGAGACAGAGCAAGAAGGAACACAGGCATTCAGTCACAAGGAGAACCTGCTGGTGATAGGATTTGGGGTGGTTCAATTCTGCGGGCTAGTTGAATTTACTCTAGAAACATATCTAACGATGTCAAATGATGACAGAATTAATGCGAGTCTTGCACCATCAGTGCATGTACGAGAAAACGTTACCGTTGGGATTTTTCCTTGATCTGCTCGTTGTACTTGTTCGTTCCCATCACCTTCTCAAGGTACTCCAACAGACCCTCGTCTTGAGGCCCCTGTGACTTTGGTGTCATTATCACAACCCGTTCCATCTCGATCTGCAATTCTCAATGCTTGTGAGGAGTCAGTTGTAACTCGCAACTTGTAATACCTGCAAATAATCGTTATTTGCCAACGAAGCTACTATAGAAACACCACACCTGAAGGACGTGGAAAGAATCATTCCTGAGGTCGATCCCCTTGTTTTTCATCAGTATGGTGATCTCTTTTGATGAGCTGTCATGACTATTGACAATATGCTTGGTCGTGTTGTTCCTGCAGGTCGTATTGAAAATAGAAGGCAGAACTTGCAAACGATGTAAGACATCTCAGCATCACTTGTCCTGGATGAAACAAATGTAGATGAAATGCACAAGGAACGCACCAGATCAACGATCTCCTTAAAATGCACAGGATGATCACGGTCGGTTGAGATGTTGATAAATTCAGTGGCTTTGTCTTGCTGTAGCTGCAAGGGACCATGAAGCAGAGAGAGGGAAAGACAAGCAATCCTACATTAGCGATGTATTATTAACGCGACACGCGAAATGTTGAAATGTGAGAGCTCGTGCATGAGGTTTGGGATCCGATTTGCTGCATGGTGACTCCCTCTGCGTGAGCATGATGATCCATGACATTGGCGATGATCCAGGTTGGTACTGCTGGTGATCGTGATAGACGTTGCTGATATTTATGATATACATCATCGCTAAGCATCTTGGTCACATCGCTGCATGATCATAATAATCGGTGGTAAATAGGAGCCGCTCTTGACATTGCTGATACTCATGATTGACATTAGTGCTGCTAACGACTGACATTGCTGATGATCATGACCGACATTGCCAGGTCGCTTCATGATAAGATGCACATTGCCGGTGATCAAGATCGGCAATAATGTTGGTGATCGTCGTTTGCATTGCTGCAGAATCAAGATTCAAATCATCGCTGCACAATAGTCTTAGGAGTAACCACACATGGCACAGCACGAACCTTATTAATGTTGGAAGATGGAGTGGTACAAGTGCTCGTTAGGTTCTCAAACGTTTTCGCAAGATTTATCAGGTTCGAGTCGACCGGTTAGCTACTGAAATGCTCCAATAGAAGCACCAGCAGATGTATGTAGCAGCCGTAACATGCGGTAGCAGCGAATGGCTGACAGATTTACATCCAACGCTTGTTCCTCTTTCAGTCGGAAATACCACAGAATCAAGGAACTCCCTGTCAGCACGAGCAAAGGGACAACAACGATCGTTGGAGCTGCTTGGAGATTGGCGCGCGATGCTATAGCAGTCACATTCCAACCTCCCGCCGTTTCTTTCAAATTACCGCTTTGAACCGCAGCGCAAACCACAAACCCATGAACTTGATCCACATCGCAGCAACCACGATCAGAGGCAAACTCGACCACGAACGCCTAGGTCGTCTGTTGCGCGAGTGCTCCACATGCATATGAAAATTACATCGGTTTTTCACGGTTATGTACGCTGTTAGATGGTTCTGCAACAAAAAGTCGCGTACCGTAAGCATTTCAGCACATCCTCCAGAGCCATGTACACTCGCGCCCTCGATTCTAACAGTGTCGAGCTGCTTTTGTACCGCGCCCTTGATCTCCCAGCTTTTGGCAACAAACCTATAAAGTAATCACGCGACGCGACGATTTTTAACTTTCGCTCAACTCTGTGGACTAGCCTCGCGCCGCGCTCCACCTTTTCGAATATCTATCAATCCCATGGAGTTTCTACACCCGCAAACACAGAACTGTAGTCCTGCGTATTTGTTTTTCTCGAGTTTAGTGTCCCTAGCAGGCCGCGCTTTTGCGAGAAATCGTATCTGACGCAATCCCGCTGCAATGATTGCAAACCCAGCGTGGTTGTCTTTTTGCGCGTCTGCATCCATGATCCATGGACAGTGGCATTCTCACCGCGGGCAAAACAAAATAAACCCATGGCTTATGGCATGCCATTAGAAAGCCTCAACCCTAAAATTTTAGGGTTGAGGCTCCCTCGGATGGCATGCCATCCGAATGGGTTTTAGTTTTTTTCTTGCCCGCGGTCAGCTTGCCACTGCCTGCTCACGCAGGCAGTGCAATATATATTCTTAAGAATAAAACAGAAACAAGGAAGGTTGGGGTAAACCATGCCTGTTTGATATTGTAACTTCCAACCAAACAGTCTCAACACTCTTTCCAGAGTAAGTGTAAAAATACCGCGAAAGCGCATGTAGCAGTCCATGGGATTGATAGATATTTAAAAATGTGGAGGGCGGCGCGAGGCTAGTCTACAGAATTGAGCTAAAGTCAAAAATCGTCGCGTCGCGTGATTATTTCCAAACCTATCTAGATCTGGGGAGGGTTTTGCGTAATCTCATCTTCCTGCTACAGGTAATGCTCACCTCCTGCACGCGAAATTGCCCTGCACCTATTAGATGCCCTACCCGCGTTGACGACGTGCCCTAGAGGTTGCACCCCAGGTATAAGCCCCCCAACCAACTTGCCGCAAGTTTCGTAAACTCCAAAACACCTGAACAGTAGCATAAAACAGACCCAGTCAACCAGAGTCTGCCGTGTTCCTTGGCCAGAGACAAACATCGCAAAATGACAGGCTCAAACTCCGCCAACGTCGCAATTCACTTCGCGCATGACTGGGTGCCACGTGGGGAGGTTCATGGTGCGTATAACACATCTTAGAAGAGGTGCATCGATGTGACGTGTACCATGCACCTGCTCGGTATAAACCCAATGACGACCAAGCGTTGTTCAAAACGCACACGTCACAAATAGTGGTTGTGGTAACACCCCCCCCTTTTGCCACAAATCAAGGCCCCCTACATGCAAACTTCCTAACAATGGGTCAACCAAATTCTTGTTGCAAACGCACCGTCGTACCCACGCTCCAGCACACCGCAACACTTCAAAAACCATAGCTTTCTCCCACAACATTCATTCACTCCCGCATGCTATTCCAGCATGCCTCGCCTCTACCACCGCAGCCAGTTAGCTGTGAACATCAAGCGGGCGATATGCGCCCACCATGTCGCCAATCCGCAGCTGCGCCACGTCGACCTCAGCCGCTGGTGCTTCACCCGCTTCGGCATCAGGCCTGATCGCAGCACGATTGGCCGCGTGCTGAAGGCGTCCGAGCGTTGGGCACGCCCTGCATCGGACAACAACCTTGTCTGAGTGCGCGGCGGAGCCCATCCTGAACTCGAGCGCGCAATGGCGCGCTGGATCGCCAATGCAGGCCCGGCTGGTGTGCCGCTGGCCTTGGCGACGATCCGCGAGCATGTCGCCAACATGGCTCGCGGCATGTCGCTGCCTCCTACCTTCCGCTGCTCTATTGGATGGGTCCGTCGTGCCTTGCGCCGCCAGGGTGTAAGGTGCATTGCGGCTTGTGGCGAGGCGGCCGACCAGGACCTCGCCGCCGTCCGTACGACTCAGGAGAAGCTGCCGCAGCTCCTCATGCATCTCTCTGTCAGGCCGCGCGACACCTACAATTTCGACGAAACCGCCATCTACATTTCGGTGCTGCCTCGCAAGACATACGGCGCCAGCCGTGTGGCGGGGAGGAAGGAGGTCAAAGACCACCTCACCGTCGGCTTCCTCGTCAACGCCGACGGCACTCACTCCTTCCGCCCGTTGGTGATCTCCAAGGCTAGGCGTCCCCACGACTTCCGCCCCGACTTCGACCCGGAGGAATTTTGCTACTGGCGCAACACCGCCAAGGGGTGGATGACCTCACCGGTGAGAATTAATTTGTTGATTCTTTCCCGTGTTCAAACACAAGCCTCGGTTTCAAGAAAATGAGTACTAACTCCTTACACCACTGTCACACCCGACTCCCATGGCAGCTTTTCACGCTCTTCATTAAGCAGCTGAACGCCACCATGTATGCCGAGGATCGGCACATCGTCATTCTGCTCGACAACGCGAGCAGCCACGTCCTCACCTCCCGCGGTGCGACATCCGAGGATCTCTTTGGCTTCCGCACGCGCTCGCTCTCGAACGTCCGCCTGGTGTATCTCCCTCCCAACACCACCTGCTTCACCCAGCCCCTCGATCAGGGGCTCATCGCGATGGCGAAGGCGCGCTACCGGCAGCATTGGCTCCGTGCCTTCACCGCTCGCTGGAATGCCGATGGCGCAACTACCCGCCTGGCGCGCTTCAAGCCCAATCTCCGCGACGTCGTGGCCTGGCTCAACGACGCGTGGATGAATATTGAGCACCGCACTATTCAGAGGTGCTGGTGGCGCACCGGCATCCTCCCGCGTGCGTGGGCAATGGAGCTTGCTCACGTGGGCGACGACACCGCTGGAGCGGGCACGGCCGCGGACATCGGGCTTGACGAGGAGATCGGGGACGTAGGCATCCTCATCGATCGCCTCGGACTCGGCACGAGCGCCATGCCGGCCGCGGAACTGGTTGCCATCGACGACAACCAGCCGACATGCGCGGAGCCGGGAGAGGATCCGCTCGCGACCGAGCCACCGCGCGGCACCTCCGCTGAGACGTGGGAGGCCCCCGCCACCATGCAAGCTATCTATGACGACAGCAACCCCGAGTCCCGCGAGGCACGGCGCTACGCTCGAGCGGCCTCCGAGATGCTTATTGGCTACGCGAAGGCGACATGCATCACCCCGCGCGACCTGTGCGCGCTCTTTGACATCCGCAACCCCATCATCAGTGCGCGGATGGAGCGCGCCAGCCCGCCGATTAACCTCAACATGAGCCCCCCGCCATCCGCGGCTGAGTGCGCGACGCCCCCGGCCGAGACACCTCGTCGCCGTGGCCGCGTCCTGCCCGCATGGATGACGGAGCCCACCCCATCGTGGGTGACTCTTGCCCAATAGGCCGCGCGCCGCCAGGAGCTGATTGACGGTGGTGCGCCGGCCGTCATGGGAGGTTACATGGCAGCAGCCGAGTGGATGCGCCTGTGAAGGGGTTGGATTCCCCTCACGAGGAGTTTGAATCTCCTCCCTGGTGAAATGTGCACGTCTTGTGCACATTTCACCGTTCTGAAATTGTTGACGGGGAAATAGCACGAGTACAAGTGGGTGGATTTCATTGGTTTGTGGGTTGGTGTTGGTGTTTGTCACAAACTGGGTGAAGTTGTGTACTCGTTTGCTATAGTGGACATGAGAAAAGAGTGGTAACCGCGCAACTTACAACCAACAAAACTGGCCGCCCGTTACTGTTTGGGAAAAAACAAACTTGTAACCTCCTGTTTTTTTTTTAAGCACCTTATGGCATCGGCGAACACCGGCGAACAAGGCGAATAGACTAAACCACTTATAAGCCCAGAGCACAAGGCAAAGTAGGGTGCGCCAAACGAGCATTACTTGTACTGTATCAATCTCATCTTTCTTTAGCCGTTTAGGTCTCGAAATCGCTAGATAGTCGATAGACGGTTGGTTTCAGGCTCACCGCGTCGTTCAGAAGCGGGTTTATCGGCTATGGCGATCGAGGATTCGAAGAAGCGCAAAGCGGACGACAAGGGCGCCAACGGCGCGTCCGGCTCCGGTCGTCACCACACCAGGTTCGAGGACCCGCCCGCGGCCTTCGGGGGATGGGGGAGGGAATCAGAAAAGGCTGGGTCATGAAGGCTGGGGCATTTTGCTTATTTCGCTCTGCAAACTCCCCCCTCGTCACCACATCAGGTTCGAGGACACGCCCGCGGCGCTCACGGCGCATCAGGCGCGCATGCTCGTCGACGTCATGAAGGACGGCGACGTTCGCGAAGCGCTGGTGAGCGCGGCGATGTCGCACGGCGACGTCGCCGACGCGATCATGGAGGTGGTGGGTCGCGACCGGCAGCAGCGGCGACTCTTCGTGCGCGGGCTCGACTTAAACACCACCGATGAGACGCTTCGCCGAATCTTCGAGTCCTTCGGGAGCGTCGAGGACCTCCAGGTGGGAAGGATGGGGAGGATTGAAAAGGGAGAATCGAAGAGGGAGGATTGGATAGCGAGGATAGGGAGAATAGGCTTTTGGAGGGCACGATGACGGATCTTCGAGTCCTTCGGGAACGTCGAGGACCTCCAGGTGGGAAGGATGGGGAGGATTGAAAAGGGAGAATCGAAGAGGGAGGATTGGATAGCGAGGATAGGGAGAATAGGCTTTTGGAGGGCACGATGACGGATCTTCGAGTCCTTCGGGAACGTCGAGGACCTCCAGGTGGGAAGGATGGGGAGGATTGAAAAGGGAGAATCGAAGAGGGAGGATTGGATAGCGAGGATAGGGAGAATAGGCTTTTGGAGGGCACGATGACGGATCTTCGAGTCCTTCGGGAACGTCGAGGACCTCCAGGTGGGAAGGATGGGGAGGATTGAAAAGGGAGAATCGAAGAGGGAGGATTGGATAGCGAGGATAGGGAGAATAGGCTTTTGGAGGGCACGATGACGGATCTTCGAGTCCTTCGGGAACGTCGAGGACCTCCAGGTGGGAAGGATGGGGAGGATTGAAAAGGGAGAATCGAAGAGGGAGGATTGGATAGCGAGGATAGGGAGAATAGGCTTTTGGAGGGCACGATGACGGATCTTCGAGTCCTTCGGGAACGTCGAGGACCTCCAGGTGGGAAGGATGGGGAGGATTGAAAAGGGAGAATCGAAGAGGGAGGATTAATTAGCGAGGATAGGGAGAATAGGCTTTTGGAGGGCACGATGACGGATCTTCGAGTCCTTCGGGAACGTCGAGGACCTCCAGGTGGGAAGGATGGGGAGGATTGAAAAGGGAGAATCGAAGAGGGACGATTGGATAGCGAGGATAGGGAGAATAGGCTTTTGGAGGGCACGATGACGGATCTTCGAGTCCTTCGGGAACGTCGAGGACCTCCAGGTGGGAAGGATGGGGAGGATTGAAAAGGGAGAATCGAAGAGGGAGGATTGGATAGCGAGGATAGGGAGAATAGGCTTTTGGAGGGCACGATGACGGATCTTCGAGTCCTTCGGGAACGTCGAGGACCTCCAGGTGGGCAGGATGGGGGGACCGGGGTGAAGGGGAGGAGAAGGAAGATGGTAATGATGGGTATGAGAGGGAGGATGGGGGGACCGGGGTGAAGGGGAGAAGAGGGAAGATGGTAATGATGGGTATGAGAGGGAGGATGGGGGGACCGGGGTGAAGGGGAGAAGAGGGAAGATGGTGATGATGGGGAGAATAGGGAGAAGGCATGATTATGCACGAGCTGGTTCGAAGGAATTGGAAGTTTTGATTTTAAGCAGGATATGCTTTTCAGCGTGTCGGGTTGCTGAGAGTAAACGCTGTCGCACACGATGCATTACAAGTTCCGCTTCGTTTCCCGCGTTGATCCCGTCTCCCCGTCTCCCCCGCCCCGGCTCCGTGCGCAGATCATCAAGGAGAAGGGGACGGGTCGCTCGCGCGGCTTCGGCTTTGTCACCTACCGCTCGCTGCGCGGCACCATTCGCGCCTTGGAGGAGCCCTCCAAGCTCGTCGACGGGCGAATGGTCGTCTGCCAGCTGGCGTCGCTCGGCCCAAGCGGCGGCTCGGCGAGCGCTGACGTGGCGGCGCGGAAGATTTTCGTGGGAAATGTCCACGTGGAGCTTTCGTCAGAGCAGCTGCTGTCGTTCTTCTCGCAGTACGGAGATATCGAGGAGGGCCCGATCGGATTCGATAAGAGCACGAGCAAGAGCCGCGGGTACGCGATCTTCGTTTTTAAGACTGCGGAAGGTGCGCAGAATGTTCTGCAGGAGCCGAATAAGATTATTCATGGGCATCAGGTGTTTTGCAAGCTCGCCGGGGAAAACAGAGGCAAGCAGCAGCAACAGCAGCAGCTGCAGCAGCAGCCGGGGCTTATGATGCTACCAGGGGTGGCGGAAGCGGAGCAGCAGGGGTATGCGCAGATGGTGTTTTATGGGGGGGACGCGCAAGCCGCCGCTTACGCCGCGTACGCGCAGCAGGCGCAGGCGCAGCAGTTCCAGGCGGTTCCGCAGCAGCAGCAGGTGTATCAGGTGGCGGACGTGTACGCGCAGCAGGCGCAGGCGCAGGCTCAGGCGGAGGCGCAAGCGCAAGCGCAGGCGCAGGGGCAAGTTGCGCTGCAAGCGCAGTACTACCAGCAAGCGCCCGCCGCCGACGCCGCGTATCAGCAGCCCGTAGCTGGTTACCAGCAACAGGCCGCGACTGGTTACCAGCTACAGGCCGCGACTGGTTACCAGCAGCCCGCAGGTGGTTACCACCAGCAGCAGCAGCAGCCTGTGTACGTAACGCCTGCTGTGGCCGCCCCAACCCTCGCAGCCATCCCCGCCGCCCCCCAAGCGGCGCAGATGCAGCCTGCGCTTGCCGCGCCCTCCCCCCAGGGTTACCCCGCGCAAGCGGCGCCCGCGCAGGGCTACTATGCGCCCCAGGGGGCAGTGCCCGCGCAGGGCGGATACGTGCAAGCGGGGGTTGCGCCGCAAGGGGGGGTTTACTACCCGCTGCAGGCACAGGCGCAGGGGCAGGCGCAGGGGCAGGCGCAGGGGCAGATGCAGGGGCAGATGCAGGGACAGATGCAGGGACAGATGCAGGGGCAGATGCAAGGGCAGGCGCAGTTTCAGGGGCAGCAGCAGGGAGGGAAAAGCGGCGCTGGGGAAGCTTCCCCCCAGCCTGGCGCAGCAGCAGCAGGAGGGGCTGCCGGGAGGCCTGGTTACCAGGTAACACCGCAGCTGCAGGCGCAGCAGCAGCAGGGGGCAGGGCAGCAGCAGCAGGGAGTGGTGTATGCGGGGTACTATGGAGCGCAGTAGCTGCAGCCGTGCGTGAGACCCTGTTTAAGACTGTGAGCAGTGCTCAAGGGTCGTCTGTTACCGTGCTGCTCGGTCTGCTCGGTAGGTATGAGTCTGTTGAGTTGGAGGCTGCTTCTGAGGCGCCTGAAAGGGGGTGGTTCTGGCTCACAATGAATGTGTTGAAGGCTGCCGGGTGGGACTGCAGCATCTGGTGGTGGTTGTCGGTGACTGCTAGTGTCTGTTTCCCTCTACTGTTTGCTGCTTGCGTCTGCCGCTGCCGCGTTCACAGAGGTTTGTGTTGGTCCCGCCACACGTTTCACCTCTCCCTGAGCTCCTCCTCGCGCTCCTAGCCCAGCTCGTATCTCTCACCGCTTCTTCACAAATCTTGTTTCGCCTTGTTTTCTCGAGCCTGCTTCTGCTCCAAGCCTCAGGCAGGATCCGCATTCTCTGTTTCAATTGGCTCCTGGCACACTCTTCGGCTCTGATTCGCCCTTGTTGCTATCTCTCCTCACCTCTAGCCTGCATCTTTTCATCGCATCCGGCAACCGGCTCTGCCTCTGAGTTTGTTCCGGCTCTGCTTGCTCCGCACCTCTTACCTGCTTCTTCTCGTCGCCTCTGGCTGGGTCTGCCTCTGCCTCTCAGTTTGTTGCGGCTTTCGTCGCTTCTGTCGCTGGCTCTCTGCAGTGGATTGTTCCACTCTCAGTCCTCTTCTTTTCTTACACCGGCTGGTGCTATCATCTGACAGTCCCTCTCTTACTCTCTCTACCGCTAGCCTCATGGTGACTCTCTCTAGTGGGCCCTGCTTCCGTGTCCTGTCTGTTGAACCCTAGCCTGGTGCTAGGCATGCTTCTCCTCTTCTCTGCCAATTGACTGATTAGCCATGTTTTACCCTTTTCAACGTGTCATGATGTTTCTTTTTACTCTTTGCCTTAGAAGTTGGTCATGGTAAATTCCTTTGGCTTTCCGAAACTGTTGGGGGTTTTATAACGTTTTTTGTTTTGCTTTTTACTCATGTTAAGTCTTGTCTTGGGCTCGTAGTACCGTATGTCTCTCCATTCTCACTCCATGATTCTTTTTATTAAGGTGTATGTTTGATCCCATGGTTTTGCGCTCGTTGCGTCATTCTTCTCTTCTCCATTGTTCTTCGGAGTCTGATTTTGGCTGGATTGCCATTTTCCTGGTGTGCAATGCAGTGCGATTTTTTTATATGAAAGCATGAATGAGCAGTAGGAATACCATTTCAGGAACTGCACTGCACCAGCAAACAGCAGGATGTTCACTCATTTTGCAGATTGCATGCTGAAATTGGTTGTAGTAATTGCCTATGACTCTTAGCTAATATTTGAAAGAAGCAAACACTACCACGCAATAAATTGTTTCAGTGCACCGCACCGTGCACAACCCAAATAATTCTCCAGGCTGCAGATCACCTTGAGGGTTGTGTTTCAGGACGCAAGTCTGGCTGTATCGCAGCACCCCTGCTGCGAGGAATTGTTTCAGACACATTTCACGGCCTTGTGGTCTGCATTGCGGTTCAAAGCGGTAATATGGAAACTTTCGAAGTTGGATTTTGACTGGCAACTCACATTCCCGAACTACTTTCAAACGGAATGTTTTGTTCCTTGGCTCGCATGGTTTTGAAATTGTCAGCCATTCGTGCTGCTGTCACGGCTGCTGATACGCCTGATACGTCTGCTTATGCTTCCATTAAAGCGTTTCAGTTGCTAACCAGTCGATTATATTCCCGACACTATTTCCTCTCGGGAACGTTTGTGAACCACCTGAACGAGCACTCTTACCACTCTATCTTCCAGCCACGGAGGCTGACAGCGTCTGATATTTGCCATGGCAGACAGAGCAGCCATAGACGCGACGCTCTTCATGTTCGAGATACAAGTTAAGCCGGTTCGTGCTGTGCCATGTGCAGAATGTCAAGATTAACCGGTGTGGTTAACTCCAAGATCATTATGCAGCACGGTCTGAATCTTCAACGTGTAGCAACATAAACGACGATCATCAACATTTTCGCCAATCCTAATTACCGGCATTGTGCTTCTGATCATGAAGCGACCAAATCTCTATAATGATCAACAGCAGTGTCAGTCGTTATTAACACCGATGTCAATCATGAACCCCAGCAATGTCTAACATAACTACTATGAACACCGATTGTCATTATCATGCAGCAAGCGTAATGCTCAGCGATGTCTATCATAGGTATCAGCAACGTCTATCAAGGCCATCTGCAGTACCAACCTGGATTATCAGCAATGTCTTAAATCATGCTCAGGCAGCTGCGCCTCCGAAGTCAGCATGCAGCGATTCTGATCTGAAACCTCATCATGGGCTCTCACGTTTCGCATGTCACGTTAATAACACTTTTCAAGTTTTGGAATTGCTTGTTCGTTCCTTGCTCTGTGACATGGATTCTTGCAGCTACATGAGAACAAAGTCACTGATCTTATCAACACCTCCACCAACCGTGACTATCCTGAATGTGTTCAAGTGTCTCTGCATTTCGAGGAGATCGGTGATCCGGTGCGTTCTTCGTGCATTTCATCTACATTTGCTTCTGCATCCGGGACAAGTGCTGCTCAAGTAGAGATGTCTAACGTCGTATATCTGTCACTGGTTGATTCAGGAAATGGGTAAGAACGAGACAGTGCCAGGATCAGAGTCTGCTGTATCACGTACAACCTGCTGCAGCGACACTAGCAAGTGTGATATCAAGAATCATGATAGCTCGTTAAAGGATTTCACCATACTGTTGAAGAACAAGGGGATCGACCTCAGCAATGAATGTTTCCACGTCCTTCAGGTATGGTGTTGCTATAGTTAATTCGTGTCTTATTGGCTGCTAACAATTTTATTGCAAGTATTACAAGCTGTAGTTTACAACTGGCTTCTAACAAGTGTTGAGAACTGCAGGTGGAGTTGGAGCGGGTTGCAACAATGACACCAAAGGCGCAACAGCCTCAAGAAGAGGGTTTGTTGGAGTTCCTTGAGAAGGCAGTTGGAACAAACAAGTACATCGAGCAGATCAAGGAACAAGCCCAACGGTAATAATTTCTCATGTAAGCACTGATGGTGCGAGATTTTTATTTTGAAAATTGCTTCCTTTCCATTATTCAAAACATTGGTGTAAGTACCACTAGTACGCAGAAATGAAACAACCCGAATCCTATTACCAGCAGGTTCTCCCTGTGGATGAATGCCTCTGTTCCGTATTGCTCTGTCTCTCAGAGCACTTAATTTAGACTCGTACTGCTGAGTGCTGTCCTTCTTGGGATGAATTTGAACAAGATAGCTCAATACAAGGCTGGGTGCTTGCTTGTGCTGTCCCTACCCGCTCGTCTGACCCGTTTGTCTCCCATAATCCTTGTTTTCCTGCTGCCTTGTCTGCTTGCCTCCTCGCCTGCTTGCCTCCTCGTCTGCTTGCCTCCTTGTCTGCCTGCCTGCCTGCTTTTCTGGTGTGTACAGGCTGGAGGATCTGAATGCGAGAAGGGTGGGCTTCATGGAACGAATGCAATTATCGGAAAGAGAAAAGGACCAACTGGAGGTGAGTGCATTATACAGCAAGGAGAAGCATAGACACTATGTGGGAAGCATAAAAAATGCAATGCAGGAGAAAGAAACACACATCATGCACTATATGAGAAACACGATGGAAATGTAACATATGTCTTAACGCCCTCCTGTCCCATTTATGTTCTTGTTGAACGAGGGAAAATGCAGTGAGAATGACATGGAAACATGATCCTTCCTGTCACCCACTCCCACTTCCTCAACCAACCCCATCGCTTGCATGTCCTGGGCTCCAGGAACAAAAAAAGGTGGCTGAAGAGTTTCTGCTGAAGGAGGCGCAGCACACGCAGCTGAACATCGCAGCAGTGTATGTGCTGCTGCGGGAAACTGAGCACATGATTAAAGGATTCATCACTCAGACCACAGACCTTGAAAGGGTGATTGAGGAAGACAGGTGAGACAGGGAGCTGGTGTGCGGTAGGGGATGGTGGGAAGCAGGTTGAGATGTCTTTGTTGCTGCAGGAGGGTGTCCACTGTCGAGCAAGGAACGGCAGCAGGCAGGTGACTCTGAAATAGGAAACGCACTGAGAAATGTCAAAACTTTATGCATATTCTGTCGTCATCCAGTGCATGGTGAATTGGTTGGAGTAATGGACAGAGACTACAGCAGGCCATGAGAGCCCAAGGAGGTTCTCTGTCAGACGCGTGAGGGTCCGAGCCCACTGACTGTAGCACCATTGGATGCAGGAGAACGTTGCTTGTGCTTACAGAAGAGTTGGCGAGCAAAGCAGTCGCATCTGACAAATGCTCAGATGAGCTCAATGTGAGTCTGGAGGGCAGCGGCTTGGAAAGAAAAGAAGTGGGAACTTGACCCAGAAATATATATTTTAGATCAGTCTTACTTCACTTTTGTTTGTCTGGCTTCGCCTTTTAATTTCCCCTTATCTGTGTTCCTAACGTTGCAAGCTTTCTTACTAGGCCCTCTCCAAAGAGCTCCTGGCTGCTGTTGCAGAGAAGAACGCACTGGCGGCGAAGATGACAGCCTGCAAGACAGGCAAGGTGGGTGACTGAACTATGCGGATGGAAGGTAGGCGTGGGATGGAAAGGTCTGGATGTGATTGCATCAGGCAAGTAGAGCCAATGCGTGAGGACGATATTGGTGATATGAGATTTTTTGGGTACTGAGAAGACTTGTTGTTAAAATATTCACGCACAATCCGATCACACACCACCTACTCACACAACGGCCACTGCTGTTCCTGTCCTTGTTGTGTGTGCTGTGCAGGAGAATATAATGCCCAAGAAAAACAAGATCCTGAGCAACCTAAGAGAAGGCACGAGCAGCAGAGGCAAGGATAAGAAGCAAAGCATCACGGAGGAAAGGAAACTGTCCTTGCAGATATTTATAGTGAACGAAAATTGTAAAAGATTGAAAAAGGTATGTTATGGGGTGAAAGGGGGAAGGTTACACACGGTTGTAAGTTGGCTTATAGCATTCAGCATCAGGTGCTGCTTAGCTGAGAGTGAAACAAAGGAGACCTTGGGATGCGTTTGCAAGGTCGCCATGCATGCTCAGACCTTGTGCCTTACCCTTTTCCCCATAATTTTCTCCATCCCTCCCAGCTGCCTCTTTCCATGCCTGCTATGTCGTCTCGTGTTTTTCCCTGGACAGGCAGGCCAGTGGGCTGCTTTACAGAGAGGGAACTGAGTTGCATTCTATTTCTTTATCCTACTCCCCGCATCCCCTTCCCCTGCTTGCACCTCTGCTGACAGCTATTGGACCGCAAGCAGGAGGAGAGCCGTGACAGGACTAGGGAGTTGGATGCAGCTCAGAGCCAGTTTGAGAAAAACGACTCTGGATTGGTGAGATGGGGGCAGGGGAGGTGAGATGAGTGCAGGGAAGGTGAGATGGGTGCAGGGGAAGTGAGATATTTAGAAGAAGAGAAGACACACTTGAGGTTTTCAAGTGGGAGATGGAAAAGGTACAGGATTTATGCAGAGCCGAAAGTAAATCATTGTCATAGATTGGGTTTATCTTTCCTCCCATGCCATTCACATTGTAAGCACAAACTCTCATTCTGTGTGTTCTCACACGCCTTCCCCTTCTTTTCTGTAACCATTGTCGAATGGATGCTCATGGCACATTCCATGTTAGGCGAAGAATGAGGGAGGAAAGGCCGATCAAATTAAGCATTTCAAACTGCACAAAAGGGAATCGGAAGCCATAATATCCTTTCCTCACATGTCCCTCACTCTAAGTTCTTCTTTCTTTGTCCTCTTTCTTCATCCACACGCCTTCTTATTCTTTCCTTAAACACCACACACCACACAAACAGAAAAAGGCACTTTTGCAGCTTGAGGAGTTCAAGCACCATCAGCGAGCAGGTGCAAGCCATTCAAGCAGAGCAAGGAATGTGCTCAAGCGTTACGCGGTGCAACTGTCATGCCAGATCTCACAGTGAGTCCATAATCCCCAACCCTTTGCCTGCTGCTCGCTCCTCTGAGAAGTGCTCTTTCTCTACCTTCCGCTCGCAACTCTTGAGTGTTTATGCACTGCCACACCTGAGTCTCGAAGAGATAGAAACTTCAAAAGCTGACAACTGTCAAGCAGTGTGTTAGACATGTGATCGAGCGTGGGTATGTACAAGGCAGGCCTTTCGTCGTCCTCACAACACTGAGGTGTGCATCTCCTTCCTTCTCCGCCCGCCACCCAACCACCCTCCCTTCTCCCCCTCCGCTCCGCTCCCCTCCACCCTTGTGTTGCAGCATGCAGGATCAACGTGTGTCAGACGAGGGAGAGGCAGGCCTTCCTCCCCCTCACAGGTATTTTGACGTGTACATCTCCTTCCCCTCCCCATCTCCCCTCCCCCTTTTTTGCAGAATGCTAGATCAACGCGTTTCAGACGAGGACATTCAAGAGGCAGGCCTTCCCTACACTTTCACCTCCGAAACTCTGGGCGAGTGGTTGGAAGGAGCAGGTTGGGATTCAGTTTTTATTGAACCAGAGACTGAGGCTGAAGCTGCAAAGCGGAGTGAGACAGAAGAGGTGCCTGAGACTGCGGAGGGGAGTGCGAGTGCGGCGCAATGCCAAGTAGCTGAGGCTGAAGCAGAGGCATCCAAAGAAGATATGCAACGACTGGAAAGGCTGGTAGCCTGGCTGTGTGGTAACCGCATGATTGCAGAAGCTACCAATGATGAGATGCAGTCAAAGCTGCAGGCCTCGGCAGAAGAGCTCATGGCGCTCCAGGGAAGAGTCGACATGGGCTGCATTGGCGAGTGAGTGAGCGTGTCTTGCTGTGTGCGTTTGCAGGTGGGGTATCTGTGAGTGAGCGAATGAGTGAGTGTGGGCGTGGGTGTACGAATGTTGTACTGCGCAAGCAGATGTTTGCATGAGGGGCGGGAGAGAGTGTGAGTGTTGGTAGTTGTAGACCTCAGTGTGTGTAGGTTGTTACTGGTACGTCCTCTGGATTCACTGTACTGGGTGTGATGCAGTCTGCTGCAACATAAGCACGTCAGTCTGAGAGCACCATGTATCAGATTCAATCTTTTTTCTTGTGTTTGTTCTGAGCATTTCTCAGGTACAACAAAAAAGAAGACGTTTACTTGGAGAGGTTCTTGGAAGCGGCCGATGTGACTCTGGAGAGGAATGCTGTGAAGCAGGAGCACGACGGGCTGATTAGTCGTCGGCAGAAAGAGTTCACAGCAGGGCTTGATGCCATCAGGATGCGGGTGAAGGAGATCTTCAAGACCTTGGCGCCAGGTGGTGACGCTGACCTGGCACCCATTGACCCGCTGGACCCGTTCAGCCAGGGGATCCGCTTCTCTGTGCGCCCGCCACAGCAGCAGTGCTGGAGGAGCGTTGCGGACCTTGATGGACAAGAAAAGGTGAGAGGAGTCCTTTTGCCCCGTGGCTCTGCCAGGATATTTCCTCCTCCTCTGTTTGTGGCCCTGTGCTGTGCTCTATGCTGTCGTGACGATCTGGTCTCGACTCCAAGGAGATGTGTGCATTATACACACTTTTCCAAACCACTACAAGCCAGTGCAGCCTTTACTCTTGCCAGCTCGACCCTGCAAGTTCTGTGCTTGCTTGAGCAGAGCTGCTGAGCCTCATTTGGCACAATCCGTCATAATTCATGTAATCTTCGTTTCTCACCACTCTGCCCACCCACCTCAGATTCCTCCCATCCCTTCCCATCCCATCCTGTTCCATCCCATCCCATCCCATCCCATCCCATCCCAACCAATCCCATCCCATCCCATCCCTTCCCTTCCCTTCCCTTTCCAACCCATCCTAACCCATCCCATCCCATCCCATCCCATCCCATCCCATCCCATCCCATCCCATCCCATCCCATCCCATCCCATCCCATCCCATCCCATCCCATCCCTCATCACATCACTTCACTCCACCACAGACTCTCAGCTTCCTGGCATTGCTGTTGGCGGTGCACTTGTGCACTCCAGAGTTGCCCATCATTGCCGTTTAACTCAATTCAGCCATAGGTACGAAATAAATGATTGGTATCAATAAAAATTTGCTGGGATATGCTGGTGCTTGCTTCTGCTTGGCTGTTGTTACTGCAATAATATGGTGCATTTTGAACCTGTCTCTCTACCCTAACCCTAACCCCCTAACCCCTCCAGTCTTCAGAAGCGGATGTATCTTTGCTGAGTACACAAGTCAATATATCACCAACACACAGGTGGCCACTGCAGAAAGTGCCTGAGATTTGTTTTGCATGAGTGCTGACAAAGTGTCTGCAGCCTTCAAGAGGAGGTCCATATATTGGCTGAGTACTTGAGGTGTGGCCCACTGAGAGCACACGTCTGTCATTGCAGTATGTCGCACGTACGGTATGTAGTGTCTTAGAGCTACAGAGGACCTGCCACTTGTCTGGGTATTAGTAAATCTGTTCGGATTTTGGTATGTAATGAATGGTCTTGAATACAAAAGGTGAACTGGACTGCGCATATCAGAAAATAGACCAGCGCAAGAATGAACCTGCACTTGTGGATTCACACAGGTGATATGCAGGAAAAGCTCCTTACCGTCATCACCCGGATATAAGACAGTGTTGAATAGTAGACAGGGGTTGTCTATTATACGGGTGTCTCTTATAAACAGGCTAGCCTCATTATAAGACACCTATTTGTGTGTACAGGTTAAAAAAGTGTAGGAGTTAGGGGCCAATGTATAGCGAGGGGGTATCTTCTAAATTGTTCTTTGTCCATTTATAAGACTTATAAGACACCCTAAACCATCCCGTTTACAAGATAACATTTTTGCCCGTGTACGAGATAAGACATATATGTCTTATATCCGGGCGATGACGGTACCATGCTTCCCGTCCAATTTCCACTCCTGACCCTCCACTTACCATACATCACTCCAAACCTAGCGCTCTTGGAATGTCATCACCAGGAGAATAGAGCTGCAATACTCTGAGTGGCATTATGAACTCTCAGAGCGGTATGCGAGCAAGCAAATCGCCAATGAAAGCACATCAGCCAAACGTGACTGGAGTTACACATCCATACCGTATTATTCAATTTGGTAATCCCTTTTCGAATGATCATAATGGAGAAGCACCAGCTCAAATGTATATCCTACCTGCAACAAACATTATTTTGTCATGCATCCCCAAGAAATGTTGTTGGCATTTCCAAATTTCTTATCATTGTACCAATCTTGGGGTTCCCGTTACTGTAGCACCGACATTCTCGGCCCGCATTCGTCCGTGATTCTCATCCACTGTTCTCCCCTCACCTCCCCCCTCGCTTTCTTTCTCTGCACTTTTTCGGAAACCCTAGAAAGAGCTTTTCCCAGCTTTTCCTGTTCTGACTCGCGTGTCGTCTGCTGCTTTGGCTTTTCATTCCACTCAGCTAGTTGGCAATGATATCGTAGCTGCGAGGTTCTGAACTAGAAAAGTTTCTTACTCTAGTAGGTTTCTTTTATGCCTTATTCTGTTAGTCCTGTCCATTATCTGGATGATTTCAGCGAATTAGGGCGTGTTTCCTTTCGTGTTTTAGTCGACGTAGTTTAGGTGTTTCTGATGGATCGCTCTACTCACGAGCCCTGCTGCTCCCATTTGCAGGCAAGTAGTTCCTCTGCTGCTTCGTTTATGATTAAGCCACTCCCCCGTTCTTTCTAGAAAAAACTGATGTTTCTTATCTCTTGGCAAATGCCTCACCTGTGCAAGACATTTTTTCCATTTTAACATGTCCGTCCTTGGCACTGATATCCACGTCGTGCTCTTGTCATTTTTCCAGGAAGTGGAAAGCCTTCGTCAATTGCTTAAATGCGCAACGGAAGAACTCCAATCCGCGAGAACCGCTGCCGCGGCACAGGGACAGCTGCACGAGGCGCGGGTTCGATACTTGGAGGAGCAGTTAAACGTGGTGAAGCGGGAAAGGGACGAGCTGAAAGAGCAATTAGACAGCGCGGAGCAGAAGCACAAGCAGGAGCTGGACCAAGCGCGATCGGAATCCCACGCCTTAATCCGACCGTCCATTACAGGCACGGTTACCGAACCTGTTGACATGGCTCGGGTAACCGAGCCTGTGGTCGTGGCTCGGGTGGAGAAAGTATCCATGACTCGGGTTGAATCCGTGAGCATGCAGACGGCGCCCAGTGCGTTGACACCTGGCTCTAGCATTCAGCAGTTCCAGCAGGGTGACACGTGGCAGATGTCCCCTCAGACGACCACTGTGTATCACCACGAGCAACACCACCAGCAGCACCAGCAGCCGCCGCCGCTTCAGCAGCAGCAGGTGCAGCAGGTGCAGCAGCAGGTGTTTCATCAGGTGCGGGTGGAGAGCCAGCAGACGACGGAGCAGCACCAATTAAGGACGTCGTTAGGAGCGTCTAGCGTTCCGATGCTCGCTGCTGCTCCGCAGGCTGTAGCAGCTGCCAGGTCAGCTTCAGCTCCTGTGATTGTGGAACTGCCGCCGGAGCCTGTGGTTAGCCAGTCGCAGGCGCAGGCCTCGCAGGCGACTCAGGCGACGGCTCGTGCGACAGGCCAGCAGTCGCAGCAGCCGCTGCCATCGTCGCCTGCTGTCGCGCAGGTGCAGTCGTCAGGGCCGTCGCATCAGGCGTCGCAGCTGTCGCAGGAGCAGCTGCTGGCGATGGAGATTCAGCAGAGCGAGGAGCAGCTGCGACTGCTGCGACAGAAGCGACAGCAGATACATGAGGAGGCGATGGGTGTGGATTCGCAGAGCCTGCAGCAGCAGCAGCAGCAGAAGGAAGAGCAGCAGGTGCTAAACCAGCAGCAGATGCTACGACAGCAGCAGCAGCAGCAGCAGCAGCAGCAGCAGTCGGCACAGCAAGCGCAGCTGCAGCAGCAAATGCGGCAATTGCAGCAGCAGCTGGAAGGGCAGTTGCTGACAGCACAAACCGCCCCTGCTGCTACAGGCGCAGGCGGAGGCACGGCAGGCGGTGCACCTGCTCTCAGCCAACCTCAGTCCCAACCGCTGCCAGCCTTCCCGCAGCAGCAGCAGCAACAGGCCAGTCTACAGACCCTGCAGCCGTCTCTCTCCTCGCATCCCCCCCATGCTTCTCTTCCTACCGGCCAGTCCTCGGGTCCCACGTCCTCCACTGGCCTGCCTCCAATCCCTGGGGGGTATTCCCAAGGGCCTTCCTCGGGATGTCAGCCCCAGGCCTCGATACAATCACAATCGTTACAAGGGCAGGGCATGCAGGGAGGGGTGGTTGGACAGGCAATGCAGGGTCAGGGGTTGCAGGGACAGGGGCTGCAGGGGCAGGGGTTGCAGGGGCAGCCGCAGCAGCAACAGCAGCAGCAGCAACAGCAGCAACAGCAGCAGCAGCAACAGCCTGTGGTTCAGCAATCCACGGTAGCCGGAGGGCAGGTGCTGTCGGGTTCAGGCGTAGCAGATGCACCACCACTGCCACCATCATCAAACCTTGGAGGGGGGTCCCTTCCTGCGTCTCCTGCAGTGCGCACAGCCTCGGGAGGAGGCTCGGTGCAGCGTGCCGGGCCTAGCTCGCTGCTTCGGCAAGGTTCCGGGGTGGGAGGTGTTCCTCAGCTGGTGCAGTCTGTGCCGTCGTCTCCTCAAGTGGGATTCGAAGTAGCTTCTAGCGCGGATAGCTTTCCCACCCAGCAGGGTCAGCCAAGTCAGCAGCAGCAGGGGCAGCAGCAGGGGCAGCAGCAGGGGCAGGGGCAGGGGCAGGGGCAGGGGCAGGGGCAGGGGCAGGGGCAAGGCCAGGGGCAGGGGCAGGGGCAGGGGCAGCAGGGTAGGATGACAAGAGTGGGTAGCTGGAATGACCTGACGCAGCAGGGCGGGGCAGCAGGGGCTGGGGGATCATCAGCAGGAGGGGGCATGGCAGGGGCAGGAGTGGGAGGAGGGGCGGGTGTGGGAGGTGCGGCTGCCCATGGCAAAACGTCCTCGCTTGCTCCTCGGAAGCTGCTGCAGCAACTGCCGCCCATGCCCCCACAGCCGCAGCAGCAGCAGCACCAAACGCAGCAGCAGCAACCAACGGTGTCTGGCCAGCAGCAGCAGCAGCAGCAGCCGCCACAGCCGATGTCTGGCCAGCAGCAGTCCGTCCCTCCTTCCCCTTTGCTGCATGCACAAGGGCACATGCCATCTAATGCGCTAATGCAGGCGCAAGCACAGGCGCAGGCACAGGCGGAAGCACAGGCGCAGGCGCAGGCGCAGGCGCAGCCTCAGGCGCACGCACAAGCCCACGCACAGGCACAGGCGGAAGCACAGGCGCATGCTCTGGCGCAGCAGCTGCAGCAGCCAGTTATGCAGCAGCAGCAGCCGCCCCCCTCCCCTGCGCTCCAGGCAGTGGCAGCGTATCAAGTGCAGCAGCAGCAGCAGCAGCAGCAGCAGCAGCCACCGCAGCAGCAACAGCAACAGCTGCATCAGCAACAGCCACCGCAGCAGCAGCAACAGCAACAGCTGCATCATCATCATCAGCAGCAGCAGCAGCAGCAGCAGCAGCCGCAACAGCAGCAACCTGTAGCAGCCTCGCCACTCCAACAGCCGAGGCAGCGCCCTCCCCCTTCTCCCATGCAGCAACCACAGCAGGCGCAGCCACAACCACAACAGCTGCAGCAACAGCAACAACAGGTGCTGATGCAGCAGAAGCTGCTGCAACTGCAGCATCAGCAGGAGCAGCAGCAGATGCAGCACCAGCAGCAGCTGCAACAGCAGCAGTTAGAGCAGCAGCAATTGCAGCAACAAGTCGGGCAGCCAGGCGGGCAGTCGCAGGTGCAATCTCAGGTGCAACTGCCTGGCCCTTCCTCACTCCCCCCTCTCCCTCCTCAGCCACTTCAACAACAGCAGAAGCAGCAGCAACAGCAACAGCAGCAACAGCAACAGCAACAGCAGCAACAGCAGCAGCAACAGCAGCAACAGCAACAGCAGCAACAGCAACAGCAACAGCAGCAGCAACAACAGCAGCAGCAACAGCAACAGCAACAGCAGCAACAGCAACAGCAACAACAGCAACAGCAGCAACAGCAAC